TTCTATTCAGCATACCTACTAAGTCAATAGGAGCCGAGACGTAATGAGATATATGAGTCGCATGAGTGAATGATATAATCTTCTTTCCTCCTTTCTTTCTTTCAAAGCATGATGTGATTCAAGCGGACACAATATATCTGATACCTGCAGAACTTAATATTCTTGATTGATTTGCGTTATTTTTAATATGGAAGTTATTGATGAAATTGTTTGGAGCCCGTTGAGTGTGGCTTCGCGTCTCGATTCTCAATTCTTGTATCTTCTCTCCTGCGTTGATACTTGATTCTAGGTTCATCATATATGATGATGATGTATCCTCCGCTCTTTCATCCAGATATCGTTCTTGCTCTTTGATGAATTGTTAGAATAGTTTATGAGGTTTAAGCTTGATACTAATCTTATAGCAGTCAATTTGGATATACATAGAGATGAGGGCATAATATACATCGTTGAATTACTAGTAATGGGTTTTGTCGGAAAAGAAGAAATTGTAATTTCCAGTCAGCATGTTTAGTTTTCTATTCGTAGATCTAGATCTAGATGTTAAACTGCTGAAGCAAAATTGTGTTGATACCTTTGGAAACCTTGCATAGAAGTAGGGATGATTGTCTAGTAATTATTTCAGTCTACTGGTATTGTATTTATATACGGCTTGATTCTTGGAGTGATGATTACTGATATCTTTTTCAAAGTTCGGGTGTTTGTTTATTTTGTTTTATCTTTACTATTTATTTCTTCATGTGAATCATAGATAAGTAAGGATATTATTTTATCTCAATAATCAGTAAAGAGTTTATTTCTATTTATACAGAAATACGAATCATAACACATACAGAAGATATGAATACCTCTCAACAAATTACTATCATCTCGAATATACAAATGAAAGAAATGAACTGTTGTGTTCCTAAAGATGTAGAGTCATACCTCTCCAGCTTATCATGCTCCTGGAGAGTATAATCAATTAGTTTCATATTTAAGTCGAGTGTTTATATTACTTTGTCTGCAAACTCACTATTAGTTCTTTGATTTTATTTCCGCAGCGGAGAAAGTGAATACATAACAGGAAAAATGATATGGAAAACTTATCTGCTGGTGTAGGAAACCGTAAAAATTTAGCGGTAGAAAAAGGTATAGATTGATTTGTATGAATGACTTGGTTTTATAACTAAAATGAATCTGTCTAATTTGACCATTAACATTTTCTACAATAGAGATGAATAACAGGACTAATTATATCTCAGCTCTTATTCCCATCCATCTTCACGACATCTTTTGAAGTTCCAAAAGTTCCCCTTAGACCTCTATGTATCTCAAGAGGTTCTTTTTCCCAACTCACTTGCCGATTTCGTTTTGGGATATGAGAAATAGGTGCTCATTTATAGAACAGCAAGACTTGAGAATAATGATATCTTCATTACTCTTTCGCTTAATAGTAGTCAAATGAGTGTATTCGGCTTCTAAGCTATACTCGCTTAAATTGCGGGGCTTCTCGAAATCTCACTCCTTATGTGATACGAGAATGTAAGGCCATTGTTAACCAGATGGTATTGTTGGTGTTGCTAGCGCATTAAGTGTATTTATGGAGGTGTACAAAATATTCAATAGGGTTAAAAGATATGAAGGAGGTAATTAATGTGTAGTTGATGCGAAAAAGAAAGAGGAAGATGTATATATTGTATATGTGATCTTAGCATGAACGGCTTGTTCTCAAAGTAGATTCATGAAAATCCATCTTCAGTGTAAATATTTACTCTATTTAATTATGAATGTTCAATCTAATGTTAATGTGTTCTTATGATAGGACTTACAATATGTCGATATTCATTAGCGAGTAGTATCTAAAGTATCTGAAGTATCCGTCTGAAAGTTATCTAAGAACAAGTAATTATTATATAACATAGACAGAACAAATATATCAGGGAATTTATTGGTGTTTCATTACAAGATAGTATATCTTTATATTAATCATTAATTGTAGATAGGAATTCTAACTGTTGTCATCTGAAGTTTAATGTTCGTAGTAAATAGTTATCTCATAGTAGCTCTGTAGATATATCAATGATATCGTCTAAAGATACAAAAATATAAAGTTAAGATCATTCAGTGGATTAAAAAACTTCAGATTGAACTTTTAGATCTCACTCGAGAGAAACAACAGCTTTTTAGAACAAGAAAAACACACTTACAAGGTCTCGGCTCATAAGACACAGCTTAAAGATAAAAGAACTTTGTCAAACTTTCGAATTTTGTAATGTCAAAGAACCAAATCTATGGCCGAGTGCCAGTAGAGTAAACTCAACTGTCAACTTGTTACTAAAGTTCTAGTAACTATCGTCGAAAGACATATAATAACCTTCTAGCTGTTATGGAGACACTTAAGACATTTTAACTAGAGTTTGAGGGATATAAGAGAATCTTTATCTAGCTGTGAGAATGCCAAAGACACACTAAGTAGTTTCCATAAGGTTAAAAGACGAATAGATCCATTATTTGACAAATTACACATATCCATCAAAGCAATTAGATGAATACAATCACCAAGTAACAAGATGACTCCAATATGACTCAAAGAATTAGACAACTATCATCTCAGAATCACAGAACTAGATTATCCATAGGAATAAAATCCAATTAGTTGTTTCTAAGTCACATGACCGATAAACTTCCCATCAACATAATGTCCCCCCTCGAGGGGCATTTCTGCTAAGCGACTAAGCAAAACCTCTTATTGGTGTAATAGTTGAATTAATCAAAATACGTGCTAATTCACGTTTCTTATTACCTTACTGCCTTTCTTGACCTACTTTGAACTCTTCAGCAACAACAAAGATTAAAAATTCGAGTATTTACTCGAAATTCGACATTTCTCCCACGCAATCTTTGATTCTTGCTGTTCTGCTTCCTTTCTCTGTTTGTACCTTGCGCCTCTGCCATCTTCGTGCTTCTCCATCACCGCATTGCCTTCCTGGTTCTTTTGGTGCTTCGTCCTCCTGCTACAATGGCAGATATTCAACCGTAAGAGCAAATGCTTGGTTTATTTGATTTATGCAACCTTCTATACTAGATTCAACGTTTGAAAATAACCTAGATACTGAGCTAATTATTTTAATTCATCTAGCCAATCGCCTGCCAGTGGTGATGATTCTGGTTCCGATGCAGGGTACGTATTATATCCTACTTCTTCTTCTTCTTCAATCGCGCCATCTACTTGCCAATTTCTACAAGCTAGACCTAATCCTTTCATCGATTTCAACCGATTCTACACAATTAAACTAACTAATGTCTCAAATAGCCCCCCGGCACCCCCAGCACCCCCAGCACCCCTGGCACCCACCGAACCCACCCCAACTTGTGCGCGCTGCGTGAAGAGAGTGATCCTCGATCCTACCAAGAGCTGTGTGCTCCATCAACAAAGCCAGCGTGCTCGAAAAATGAATGCCGATACGAAGTGCACATACTGCCAGTGCCAACGGGCAAGATGTTACAAGTGCCCTTCAGCACTCAAGCCGGAGATTTTGGAGCTCCAACAACGAGCCCGGGACTACAATACCTGGGTCGATGGACAAAACCTACTTCCGCCTGCTCTTCGTAGCACCTGGGTCTTGCCAAAAAAGATGCCGAATCCGTGCCCCATCAATGCACCAGATGTTTACAAAGAGCTACATAGGGCTCAAAAAGTGGTTGAACATGGGATTCCCAGAGCCCAGAAGGGTATCTCTGGGTGGAAAACTATGAGAGAAGGTTCCAAGCATGAAATGATGGGACTGAATCCTGTGGTTAGGAATGGCGACAACCGTGGCTACTGGTGGTAAATAGGGGTAGATAAGGCTTGGGAACCTGTTTGAAAGTTACCTAAGGGGATGGGTAGATAGAGGCTTGGGAACCTGTAAGTTACCAAAGGGGACGGTTGAGTGGAGTGGAGATAGAATGGCTTGGGAACCATAAGTGCCTGTAGGATAGACGAGGGAGATGGATGGACGGATGGATGGCTTGGGAACCATAAGTACCTGTAGGATAGATAAGGGAGATGGATGGATGGGCGTATATGGGCATCGTATGGATGCGGCGGGGGAGGCCAGCAAAGACGAATCTCTACCTGTACGTGGTGCTGGCTACGAACCTGAGTATGACCTACTTGTACTTACCGACGTTGTCTTCGGATTACTGTTGCTTGTATGTATAAGTGGTCATTAGTCAGAGCCAAAGAGATAGCATAAGGTAGTTTATATGAGTAAGATGAGACAAATGGAAGGGAGAATCGATATCGCTCGCTCTTTATCCAATTGATTTGGTAATCAAGAGATTTAAAAATGAAGATGTGAATCCTTCACATCCAGTTATCCTTGACAATGAGGGTATGGCTGTAAGAGATCCAATTCAAGAGGTTCGGATCGATGCCATTTCGTTGGATTGATCATGGCGGGCAGATAAACCAAATGAGCTTGACTTCATACTCGTGGCTCGTTGATGAAAGGCAAAACATAGACATGATAGACATGGTCTGTATTTAATGTTCATTCAATCGATATACAACGTTACATATAGGGCCCAGATGGCAACTGAGCCAGTGAAAGATGTCATTTGAGTGAGTTTGGAGATTGATTTGAATTTTTGCTTGAAACGGAAAGAATGTTTATGGTAGAGAAGATTTTTGAAGAGCATGTCAACGCATTTTTAAAAGGAGTATGAAGCACGCGGGATTGAGTATCGTCGTGGAGTAGACTTGAGATTGGTTGTAAGATGAACATTTGGGCGAAAGAATTATGTAAACTGCTGTCAACATTATCATCAGGTGATGAATACAGGATCAATTTATTGGCAAGCAGTTGGTTATTTGAAACAATTTTACATTCTTCAATTCTCGCCCAGTCATTGGATAAGCAAAAGCTCTGCTTGTTATGGTATTGTAAAACACCTATCCGCCCACAAAACGCCATAATGATGCTCCTTTCCCCTCAAACTCCCTTTTCCATCTTACAGGATCCGACCCACCTTCTTTACGCTTTCTTCGGCAAAGCAGGTGGACCCATTTTACCAGCACCAGAATCTACTTTCTTGGGAGGAGGTCCCATACTGCTATCACCACCATTGCCAACTTGAGTAAATGTTCCACCTTTGAACCATTTATCTTCTTCTGCTGCCCTCTTTCTCTTCATTTCTGCTACTCTCTTTGGATCTACCAATTCTAATCCTTGAACTGGCGTAAATGCCAAACTACTAGCAGTTCCTGCACTAGCTCCAGTACTAGTACTCAATCCTCCTACACCTGATGCTCTTAAGCCTTTACCCCGTAAATCTATATTACCAGCTGATTGACCAAATCCTCGAAGTGATGATGCGGAACCACTCATAGGAGTTGAAGTACCCCAACCTTTGTTCTTTGCGGAAAGTTTGGCCTTTGTACGTTGATCTATTTGAATATTTCGGATACGACCGTCATTGCCTTGTCCAATCATACCCATACCCTTAGTTCCATCACCAGTACCATAACCAACTTCTTTCTCTTCCTTTCCAAATGCCATTCTATTTTGTGCTTTTCTCAGATCGGTCATAGCAGTTGCCGCCTTGGCTAATCGAGCACGTCGACCACCACGTTTGCGTGCAGGTTTATCATCTGGAGCTGGCAATGCGCGAGCACCTTTATTTGGAGGGGGCTCAGTGAGCTTTTCGAGTCGAGTGATACATTGTTCTTTCAATTCTTCACCTGTAGAACCATCTGGACTATTATGAACGCGATCAACTCTTGCGGCTAGGACAACTTTAGCGGAGACAATACGCATAGCTTGTTTCTTAAGATCATTGGGAATTCCTTGAATGATAGGAGAATGATAAAGAAATCCTTGTTGGCGAACTCCGACATTAGTAGCAAAACCTGTTCCGGATGATTTATTGGATCCTAGAGGAGGAAGATTGCATGCAGGTGTCTTTGCTAAGCCTGTCAAACCTCCAGCGAAATTTAGTAGTTGTGCCGCTGTAAGAGATCCAATGAGGGCTGTGAGATTTGGAGCGAATAAGTTCATGCGTGATTGAACATAATCAGTTAAAGTCTTTTTCGCTTTGTCCAATGCAAGAGTCATATCACAAGCACGAAATACTCTTTCAAGTTCATGTGGTGACATTTCTCGACCCTTTGTAGTGGTTGCCTCGACCGTAACAATCATAACAGATGGACCATCCAAAACGGATCTCAGTGTAGCACCAAGTCGATTATCCTTCGATGTTTGAAGCGTCTTGATATTTTCCGAGTCCATAGGTCCATTCCCAATAATAGTGACAACTTTAGCATAGTCCAGTGGATTGGTGACCAATGTTTCCAATTCCGGAAATCGAATCGAATAATGATCTCGTATGAACTTGTGGACTAGGATAATTTCACTATCGATAGATGTCGACAAAGTGTTTGCTTGCGTTAAGAGATGATATTCTGGGTTGTCTTCGACCGAGCCTACGAAGGTTGTTTGTTTATCGGGAGGTAACGATTGAAAATGTGCGATTTTCTGTCAAATCGAGGAAAGAGTCAGGGCTAAGACACGAAAGAGTAGATGTAAACCATAGGTCTCCAAGTTGAGAAGGGGAAAAACAAAATTCTACTGACCTCTAAAACTGGTTCCAACGTTTTCATCAAACCTGCTACACTCCGCACATCATCTACTCCACCAAGTTGCATCTTTTCAACTTTCGCTTTGGTCGCCTCCTCATCTTCTGCAGTATCGATAGCACCACTGGTCATTTCTGCCATCTCATCATCCTCGTCGACTGCTTCTTCATCGCCATCGAGCTCCATTTCGCTTGCGCCTGAAAGTCCTGTCGCGTTCCCATTCATGCTCAGGGCGACCTCGTCAGGGTCGGCAAAAAGGTGTGCATTATCCTCGCCTTCACCTTCGGATCCAGAATCCTCAAAATCTTGCAATAATTCATCTGCGAGAGTCGACATCTTAAATGTAATGTTGTTTGCTGTAGTTGGCGCGTGAAGGTATAGAAAATCGATTAGAGAAGAGCTCAAGCCGGAAAGGCGGCCGCTAGCGTAGGTACAGATAATATTACTAATCAATCTTTTTGACTATCGCGACACCTTCAAGTCTTGAACGCGAACCAGAATCATACCAACTGTTTCGTCAAGAGATTAAACTCTACCGCCACCATGGAGTCTGAATATGAGAAAGCTCGAGGACCTCCAAAGGTCAAAAACAAGGCCGCCAGTGCCATCCAAATTTCAGCAGAACAACTTCTACGAGAAGCTGTTGACCGTCAAGAACCAGGACTTCAAGCACCAACTCAGCGTTTTGCTGATCTCGAAGAGCTTCATGAATTCCAAGGGAGGAAAAGAAAAGAGTTCGAGGACTATGTGCGGAGGAATAGGATTAATATGAATAATTGGATGAGATATGCGCAATGGGAATTGGAACAGAAAGAATTCAAACGAGCACGATCCGTTTTTGAACGAGCATTAGATGTCGACTCAACATCTGTCACATTATGGATTCGATATATCGAGGCGGAGATGAAATCGCGGAACATAAACCATGCCAGAAATTTGTTGGATCGCGCCGTCACTATTTTGCCTAGAATTGATAAATTGTGGTACAAGTATTGTTACATGGAGGAAATGCTTGGTAATATTCCCGGTACACGACAAGTCTTCGAAAGATGGATGTCTTGGGAACCGGATGAGGCAGCTTGGAGCAGTTACATCAAATTGGAGAAAAGATATGGCGAGTTTCAAAGAGCTAGGGAAATCTTCCAAAGATTTACCATGGTACATCCCGAACCAAGAAATTGGATCAAATGGGCCAGATTCGAAGAAGAGTATGGCACTAGTGATTTGGTTAGAGAGGTATTTGGCACAGCTGTCGAAGCTTTGGGTGAAGACTTTATGGATGAGAGACTCTTTATTGCATATGCGAGATTTGAGGCAAAGTTAAAGGAGTACGAACGCGCAAGAGCCATTTACAAATATGCCCTCGACCGTATGGCACGATCAAAGTCTATTTCCCTCCATAAAGCTTATACGACTTTCGAGAAACAATTCGGTGATCGTGAAGGTGTGGAAGATGTAATTATCTCAAAACGTCGAGTTCAATATGAAGAGCAGGTAAAGGAGAACCCCAAAAATTACGATGCGTGGTTCGACTATGCCAGATTAGAGGAAACCTCAGGGGATGTCGATCGAGTTCGAGATGTTTATGAGAGGGCCATTGCTCAAATTCCACCAACTCAGGAGAAGAGGCATTGGAGGCGTTATATCTATTTGTGGATTTTTTATGCTATTTGGGAGGAAATGGAGTCAAAAGATGTTGAGCGAGCGAGACAGATCTACCAAGAGTGTCTGAAATTAATACCCCACAAGAAATTTACATTTGCCAAGATTTGGCTCATGAAGGCTCAATTCGAGATTCGACAACAGCAATTACAAGCCGCCAGAAAGACTTTAGGTCAAGCCATCGGAATGTGTCCTAAAGATAAGCTTTTCAAAGGTTATGTTGAGCTAGAGATCAAACTTTTCGAGTTCGTGAGATGTCGTACCCTTTACGAGAAACATATCGAATGGAATCCAGCTAATTGTCAAGCCTGGATTAAATTTGCTGAACTGGAACGAGGTTTAGATGATCTGGAACGTACTCGTGCGATATTTGAATTGGCAATCAGTCAACAAGTTCTTGATATGCCGGAATTATTATGGAAAGCCTATATTGACTTTGAGGAGGAAGAAGGCGAGTACGATCGCACTAGACACCTATACGAGCGATTGTTGGAGAAGACAGATCATGTGAAGGTCTGGATCAGTTATGCACATTTCGAAATTAACGTTCCAGATGATGATGAGGAAGAGACAGAGGATGATGAGGAGAAACCAGTTAGTGAAGCTGCAAAAACACGTGCAAGGAAGATCTTCGAACGTGCCCTTAAGAGCATGAAAGATAAGGATCTTAAGGAAGAGGTATGTCACACACTTGATCTAAATTTTCCAACACAATATCTAACATATTCACAGCGTGTTTCTCTCCTCAATGCTCATCTTTCCTTTGAACGTACTCATGGTACAGAGGAAGATATCGAGAAAGTACAGAAACAAATGCCAAGAAAGACGAAGAGAAGAAGAAAGCTTGATGATGATAGTTATGAGGAATATGTTGATTACGTTTTCCCTGCCGATGATGAACAAACGAAGAAATTGTCGAATTTCTTGGCAATGGCTCAAAGCTGGAAACAAGCTGGTGGAACGATTAGCGGTGGCGGAGATTAGAATAAATTTTAATGACGAGGTTGGAAGAGTCGAACAAAATTGTGTATGTATACCTGGGCCATCATCAAATGAACTGACGATACTTAATTTATGGTACGTTTAAAAATATCACCCAGAACGTTTTCTGCATCAGTGTATGTTCCCATGGTTTCTACTTGTTTGGACGCTTTTAGTTTAATTTCATTGAAGTCTTAGCATTATTTGTTTCGGGTTCAAAGCGAATAGACATTCACGTTGGGTGGACTCATTGGCATCAGAAGATTGACAACATCTGGAAGAATCTTCAGAAAGGATTCGGGGTTCTCTCTGAAAGTCAGATCGCCAAGACCATCGACCCAACAGTAATTCGATCATTCAAGATTGCATTATTATCAAACGGCTCTGGAGAGATTCTGGCCACCAACAAATTGGTGTCATTGTGCAGGATAGAGTTGGAGAACGTAGTAATGATTGTTCAAGGTAGACGGAGAGAAAGATTAAGTAATATTTGTCCGGACAACTCAAACAATCTTCCAATCTTTGTTGGATTAAAAAGTGTGGTAGGTAATGAAGGAATGGATCTACAACTCGAACGATTCAAAATATATAACTTTTCATGTTCATAGTTTGTTCTCGATCTTGTCACTTCCCATAGATCCCTGTTTTGATAAAGCGTCCTGATTATTCTTCATTCACCTTTCAATAACTCGACAAAGCTTTCGCCCTTAATCTTGGACCGTACCGCCATATACCCAACGGTGCTGTTATGCCAATGGCAATAGCAACAAACGCCAATGTGCTATTTCCCCACCCATGCCCCAACACTTGATACATCTTCGGCGCAAACAAAGGGAAACCAAAAGCAGTCAAGCTGCGCAGAAATTGTGATGCAGCAGATGCTGAACTCGTATGGTCTGGATATGAATCGATGACGTATGCTTGCAATGCTTGTCCACCAATCTGCATACCAAAACATAATACAAAAGCTCCAAGGTCGACGATTATCCAAGGTGCATGCTTTTGAGCTGCCCACCCATATACTAGAAGTCCAAGCGGTATGAGGACGAATGCTGGTATCATGATCGGAACCCGAAATTCCGGCATCTCGACACCATCTGCGCGTTGTTTCATTCTGCGGAAGACGAGATCTAATAATGGCCCTTCAATTTGTGCTCCCACTATTTCTCCAAGGCACATGGCAAGATAATGAAGGCCACTTTTGGAGATAGACTCGTGGTATTCTCCAGTCCAAATATCGGAATAGGTGGAAAGAGTAATATAGGTGATGCCATAATCGAAAGCCGAAAGACAAGCCTGGACTTGAATAATTGGATGGAATAGAAGTAAACGAATGGGTCTAGAAAAACTTCTCATCAATACCCAGGACACTGATCTTCCTTTCCCAAGTGCCTCATCCTCTGTGTAATAACGCGAACTCCCGGTACTGAGCCTGAGCTCTTTAGCTTTATGCCGAAGAATTGTCGGACCATGAGTTTCTCGAAACAAAGGAATCGATACCACGATCATTATCGCCTGAAAAATTGATGTTGACCAAAACATCCACCTCCAGGTCGTATATTCCGTGATATAACCTCCAATAATAGGACCAGCAGCTGCACCAAGCAGTGGTAACAAGGAATAAATCCCCAGCGATCTTCCTCTCTCATCAGATCTCCAAACATCTCCTAGAACTCCACTTCCTAAAGCATAAATAGCACTAGCACCAAGACCGGCCATCAATCTTGCAGCAATCAATAACCCCTTCGTGTGCGCAAATCCACATACAATATTCCATATCAGGAACCATACATTGGTCGTATGTAACACGACGCGTCGTCCATATAATTCAGATAGCGGACCAATAAGTAAGGGACCAAAGGCTGTGGCGAGTAAGTAAACGGACATGGCCATAACAGACTCAAGGGAAGTCATGTGGAGCTCAGATGCGACTATGGGAAGTGCAGGTGCCATAATCGTGGATACAGCAATTCGGTTGAATCCGGTGGATGAAAGAATGAGCGTAGTGAGCCATTTCTGGTAGGTCGGCCAGCATTTTGGGTTGGTAGGATCTTGGGGGACGGTAAATGCTACGAGATATTCAGCGTCAGCGTATGTCGTGGCAATAGGTGTGGAAGTCTTCTCGGAAGCTTTCTCAGGATCATTCTCAGGATCCATTTTCGAAAGTCTACGTTATGAAAATCGGGCTAGCCGTCGTGGTAAGCTTTAGTATTGGGTTGCTCGGAATGAATTGAAAGTTAAGCTGATGATTCTTCATTCATGTTATGGTTCATCTCATAGTATATATGCATCTGACGATACCCTAGGAATAAGCTGCTGGGCCTACCTATTCCGTTATCCTAGATTCGTGAGTCTTACACCGGTCTCTGCAAGGGATTTGATAGCTAACTTGGACGAATAGTTGCATGTTTAATATTCATATCCTAGAGAAACTGTCTACGATGCAGAAAACATCTTGTCCATATTGCCATGTCATTTTTTATAGGAAATCATTCATTTTCCCGAAGGAGGTTTTCCTGCCGAAAAGCTCTTCTATGAAACTACCATGTCATTCTATATTTGGTCATTCGATTTTAGCCCTTTCAAGACATTGGCTTTTATTAAGAATCCAAAACTCAAGGGCAAATCTCACACCAAAACTTCCAGAGGAGAATTCGTGCTCATTCATCGCGCTTTTGCTCACACGGAATAAGCGGAATAGCATATACGGAGTACGGAATAACAGTGAGGCGCTAGGACCCACACATGTATCGCATCACGAGAAGGGTACTAGATATGGCAAGCAATATATCGATCACCGGTATTCAAGGAAAATGATTGGATTGTGATCCTCTGATTGATAAGATATGATTAGATTGTAAAATTATCTGATCTTTTCCTTGCATTAACGCTAGGCAAACATGAAGTAGCTGAGCTCTAGACTCCAATTCGACTACCAGCAGCGACCTCGGGAGCGACAGTACCTTGCTTTATTGTGGGACAGTTTCGAAAACAGAAAGATATTCATTATCAAAATCTCATTATTGAAAGATATGTCAGGTTTCAACGTTTGTAGTTGGACCGATCTAGAAGCCATTGGACAATCCTACAGCAACTTACATTAGCTAGTGCTATCATAAGATCTGTCAACTTGAGTGAGCTCACCAGAGATTAATATCAAGCATGCATCATTCCCGGTAAGCTCGGAGTTTTCTGTATCTAATCAATCGCCTTTTCTGGGGCGGCGCATTTGATGGACTTTCTCCTACTTGGCCCTCCTCTCTTTGTCTTTTCAACTCCTCTTCTCGCTGTCTTCTCGACTCCTCTTCTCGCTGTCTTCTCGACTCCTCTTCTCGCTGTCTTCTCGACTCCTCTTCTCGTTGTTTTCTCAACCGCTCCTGTTGTTGCTCCTCGGCCTGCTGCTTTCTGGCTAATTGCTCTGCGGCTTGCTGCACTCTAGCTAATTGCTCTTTCGCTTGCTGTACCTTGGCCTGCTGCTCTGCGGCTTCCTGCTTTCTGGCTTTCTGCTCTATGACAAACTGATTTTTGCCTATCCGCCCTGTGACTAAGTGCTTTTTGGCTAATTGTTCTTTGGTTGAGTGCTCTTTGGCTTGCTGCTCTAGGGCTCGCTGCACTTCAGTTAACTGCTCTATTGCTTGCTGCACCATGGCTTGCTGCTTTGTGGCTTCCTGCTTTCTGGCCTCCTTCTCTCTGGCCTCCTCCTGCTTTCTAGCCTCCTCCTGCTTTCTGGCGGCCTCCTGCTTTCTAGCCTCCTCCTGCTTTCTAGCCTCCTCCTGCTTTCTAGCCTCCTCCTTCTTTCTAGCCTCCTCCTGCTTTCTAGCTTCCTCCTGCTTTCTGGCCTCCTCCTGCTTTCTGGCGGCCTCCTGCTTTCTGGCCTCCTCCTCTTTTGCTAATTGCTCTTTGGTTTTCTTTTCTCCGGTCTCATCGCCATCATCATCATCATCATCACTATCACTATCACTACCATCATCATCATCACTATCACTATCACTATCACTATCACCATCATCACCATCATCGCTTTCTGAGATCTCACTGAGAGCTTCTCCCCCTTCAACCCGTTCAACAATATCTTCCTCATATGTTACCTGTAACTCCGGTCTTGCCCAATTCTGCAAACGTCTATACGTCAAACGTATCGTTTCTTCAGCTATTGGTCTTATATGGTCTAATATTTGAGCTGCAGTCCATCTCTTTTCCACGTCCATTTCTCTTGGCTTTTCAAGCTCGTTAGCCAAAACTTTAGAAAGATGTGGATCGCATAAACCCCAATTCGGCTTCTCCTTTTTATTTTGCTTTCCGTCTACTTCAGTTCTCTTTGGTCGTCTACCCGAGTGCGACAAAATGTACAATGACATCCCGACACACCAAACATCATATTTGGCACTTAAATAAGGTTCCTCGGGCGCCCCGCACACGGCGTTTCCCGTGTCATGCCAGCGTTGCTCTCCATATGGCACATAGGTGGCTTCTCCGAAGTCCCCAATTTTTACAGTTGGATATGTGTTTGGTTTCCCAGAGTCCTTCAAAAATATGTTGTCCAACTTGATATCAAGGCAAATAACTTGATTGCGTGAGTGGAACTCTTGTTTCTTATTGAGTTCGTGGTCACCATGAAGGAAACTCAGAGCTTCCATTGTCTGCATATAGACATGCCAAATGAACGCTTCTGGTATTGCTGCATGCTTGTATAATTTTGGCATATTTTCTGGTTTGTGAGTCCATACAGAACCTTCGGGCTCTCCTGAGCCCCAGCGTGGTCTATCATAGTACTGCGTCACAATGTTTTCCAAATTTCCCCAATCACAATACTCAAAGATATGGCAGTGGCCGTTATCTTCTGCTTGTTCTAAGTCGAAAAAAGCTTCCAAGTTGCAGATAGAAGGATGACTAGAACGTATGTACTGCAAATAACATTTGGTTTCATTGAACCGTTTAGTCATTAAATGCCGTTCTTTCATTACTTTCGCGGATATCTTCGAAGCCTCAGAAGAAGGTGTGACAGGAGGGGTCTTGGCTCCCCTCCACGCTGGGGGTGTCATCATTGGCTCATCGTCATTTTTTCTTATAAGCCTACAGGAATGGGGAGTCAGTATTGCTTGTGAACACTAGGCTTTGGAGGAAAAATGAGGTGTTCTTGTCGTGCAGGGCATTAGAAGAGGTGTGCAAGATGAAATATAAATGTGCTATTTTGAACCGAAGAATAAAATGAGATAAAAAACCAAAGGGGATAGTAATTGCGTTAAGCTTACTGAGTCTTCATTGCATATTGAACCTTAGTCTCAATATTCTCAATAAGGTATACTGCTCCAAAACCGCCCTCGCCGATCTTGCCTATGATTTTGATATTTTTGTTTGTGAACCCTGCGTTTGGTTTTCGCCATTTGTTATGACGAAGAGGCGCAGCTGTTTGATGTATAGCACGCAGAATATCCACGGCAGCCTCGGTATCTTTATGAATTAATCTTCTCTCGGCTCTTTCTTCTCGTCTTTCCTTATCTTTAGCACTTTCTGCATTTGCTCTCGCCTCGGCCTTCGCCTCCGCCTCCTCTTCTTCCCTTTTTTGTTTTTCATATTCCTCCAAATGACTGAATAGCCCAGCCTCTACATCATCGTCGATCGTAACAAAAATTTCCCGTAGTTTTTGCTCAAGTGAGTCATCAGCAACACCTTGGCCTCTGAGTATCTCCAAGATCTCGTCGGTATGATCGAACCTATTCTTGGGGTCTGGCCTTTGCATTTTATGCAATAGTTTGTTCTCTGTCGCATATATGAGGGTTGAAATGACCAGAGCGAGTCTTTAAGTAGTCTTCGAAATGATTGTAAATCGGGTGCACAAAACGGAATACGCAATATTCGTTTTAGATTCATTCACTATGAAATGCCTAATGAGCAGGCCGAGGTTTTGAGGAAACCACGTTCGGATTTCGATTTCTTGTCAGAAATTTGGTTAAATCCAACGAGACAACAGGAAAATCAACCTAGAATGCAATAGATATTTAAGAAGTGGAACAAAGCCACAAAGGAATATCTATGACCTTCGCCCAAAATCTTTATGGTCAGCTTTATTGTGCTTTTGTATGGGCTTTGTTATCCAAAAACAATCGATGCTCATGGCATAGTGTTGTTGTTAAGGATTAATGTCTTTGTCAGTTTTGCAGTTGCACAAAACTATGCAAATGGTAAAGATGTTCAATTCCTAAGCCGGAAAAATCAATGTAGCGCCAGTATCCCGAAATTCATAATTACAATACCAGATAATAATTTGTGGGTCTGAATGGGAGTGGTTGCCTAACAATTTTCGATGAACTTTGACAATCATAGCCTATCGACCTACATGATAGCTCGAATTAAGAGCTATGGAAATTGAAAGGTCTTGTTGTATGAATTTTCCAAACTTGATGTAATTACCTATGGATTATCTTGAACACTCAAAACAGCCACTGGGTATCCAAAAGGATCGTTTCATGAAGCACATCCAAAATTGTATTTCACATCAAGACATATCATTTCATCATCTCAAAGTAAAACACTCACCTGGTGACTTCAACTTCTTTGGCCAATTCCCCGTCACAACCTCTCCGTCCATCATTCCATGTACATAACACTCTCCTATGATACTCCACCCCCCATTGTCTTTCCAGCCATACTCATCTCTTCTCAAAACAACAGGTACCGTACAACCTAGGAATATGCAAATCACATCACCTTCGTTTGCCTCACTAGGCATCAATCCAAAAAGTTCCTTACCATTTTCCCCACCCATTAAGAAAAATCTTCTCTTCCAAACTACCGCTTGTACTCGATCTAAAAATTGAAGCATGGCTGCCGGTGCCATTTCTTCTGTTTTTCATTTTTCATATCATTAGTATGCCAATACCCTGACGCATCTCGCAGTAAACCTACGTCTAGAAAATATGCGCAAGCTCTCCGATACCAATTGGGCGCAGGTCCAAGGTCCCCTAGTAGAGTCCTCCATAGTGTATCATGTGGCTCATACTTTCCTGTCAAGGGGTCTTTCTTATATCCCCCCATTTTCAATGCTTCAGCTATAATTACACCTCCATTCACGGCATCAGATCGTCTTTTTATAAAATCCAGCTGAAATCCTTCAACATACATGATACCTTCGAATTTGTGTCGGTGTTGTATATTCTCCTGCTTGTTCGCATATATAGGCTCTACACCGGGTTCGCCTGGATTGGTCGGATCAACTTCATCGTCCTTAAGATCATGATTGATTTTCTTGCCGAGACGCACACGAGGTGCTAGTCCAGAGGATGCATTATATTGTGGACGACCTGACTCATCTACAAAACTATCTCCATTAATCCTCCATTTTTTTGCTTCGCTTGGCGAGCCAAAAGCATACCGATCAATACTGGTAGTCCACGATGGCACTCTCTCCTTTTCAAATGTGCTTTCGACCTTTTCCCGAGTGTTTTTTTTTAGCTTAGGTCTTGGGGCCCAAAGGCGACAAAGAATATCGAGGGAGTTGGACTTTTCAATACAGTATTCCAAGTCTTCTTTCCTGTCAGCAAAGTGATCCAGTACCTGGAAATCAAGAATACTTCTCAAGAAATCGAATGTACGCTTTGGACCATCAGTCGCGCCCTGCTCATCATTTGTCCCCAACCAAACACAAACGCTCTTAGAAAATGTGTAGACTTCGTGCATTCTCGCAACCTGCGCAGCCTTTTCCTTGTTATGTGCTTGGTTTATGCATATAGCATCACATCATAGATACACCTCATCTTGCTCCGATCCGAGTTGCAAGAGAACTTCTCTAAGATTTTTTTGAATAAACCTCGTGCTGAAAGGCCGTACAGCGTCCCAATCTTCGCCAAACTCCTCATTGCTGTATACATGAATTTTGTGCACCGCATCGTCGTCTCCCCAATGGTGAGATAAAGCCGTGTACTCGAGCTTAATAAACTTCGACTTAGAATTTCCGACACTGTCTGTTAGGGCGCTGGTCAATAAGATGCAATAAATTGGAGAGTCTCTTCTACCCGGTAGGATTTGTAAAACTCGATGTCCTCATTGTAATTGATGTCCTTGTATTTGTGATATCCTACTTTTTGCGGTACCACAGAATGTAACACATTTCGTGCGCGAATCACTAGCTCCTGAAAAGCATTGCATCGACTTCGATGTTGTACTTGCTCGGGTGTTCCTGCTCTGCTTTTTGGATCGGAGTTCGGGATATTGACTGTTCTCACATTGTGACAGTCCGTTCGTAGGATCAAGATGTCACACTCAATTCTATGTCAAAGGTTTTTGAGTCAAGTAATCGAATTTTCGAGGCTCTGTGTTTGTAACACGAAATCACGGAACGGTGATTGCGGAGCGCGACGCCTTGTAGGATTTAGTGTTACAAAAATATCAGCGATGTAAGCATCATGATTGTCAGCTGAAAAATTGGAGGTTTGATACCCCCTCATTCAAGCCATTCTCTGATATTTCGTTCGAATCAAGGAATCTTTTTCCTAGCTGAAATATATTTTCAGTCTTTTAACAGGGAGTTTGTACCATTCTCTTCTTTTCAGATTTATTGATAGGGAACAAAATGTTCTATTGTACCACTTGTAATGCTATTTGCAGTGAAATGATTGTGAAATAGCAAGTGACTAGATTTTTGCTGACCATTCCCCGCTTCCATCGGGTTTCGAGAAAAGCAATCTTCTTCCTTACAAGGCAGGTATCAGACTTCTATTCCAAATAATGACAAGTCGTTTGTTCCTGATCGCGTATCCACGATAATCAGTCTTGCAAGTTGCAATTGACAAGAGATAATATAGATTATCTTCTCCCCCGCTCTACTTCTCTGTAGCTTCAAAGTATTCTGACCACCCCCTATTTGATTTGTTTTAGTATGGCCCAATCTTTTTCGATCGCAGAATGGTATCTGAATGAGAAGAACGAAGAAAGTCGACTTACTTAACATTTGCTTTGCGGGGTAATAATACCCAGTCAACTAAAGACTGTTCCTCGATATTTATGGGCTCCAATGCCACATATGCACATATTCACCTATCCGGTAATTGTTGGGATGTATTAATCTTCGTTGCCGCTACTATGAGATGATTTGTGACTTCCTCGTCGTCGCACCCAAGACCTTGATACCCGAGCTCTAAGGACAAGAAGAACACGATATATTTGACTAAGTAGATATGAATGCCCTAAAGCAACGACATTTATTCCAAATACTAAACAACTAATACCTCTCATAGCTTTCTATCCCTAATCTTGAGGAGTAGTGGGTCCTCTCGTACAGCCAACAACAACCAGACTCCTGGGAGCAAACGAGGTAATCAGTTTTCCGTTAGCTGAAGTGATCAAGAATTCTACTCTTTGCCTACTCGAAGCGTGATGTATAGCGGAACCAATGCCTTGAAATTCGGCCTGAAGATATTTGCATATTAATTGCCGGCTTGAAATAACGAAAGATCCTTAGATCAATTCGATGTGACCTTTGTCATGATGTATCTACATGATGCAGACCGAGTGCTCGAATAGGGAGATTTTTTTTGCAAGAGTATTGATCGCCCAGATCAATGTCGCCCATCGTGTGTAACGTGAACACTCAGCCTCAGTCTCAGCATCAGCCTCATGATTTCGACCCATTATCCTGCTTGAGACTCATTGGTATAATAGCATATCAGGAGCATCACAATAGACACAATTAAAGTTCTTTGAACAGTCGTAGTAGGTTTGAGAACTGCAGCTTTCACTATCATTGTGTGGTTTCCGTGCAACTTTGATCAGTATAGCCGCCATGGAAATTGGCCCCATTCTGACAGTGCTATTCCTCCGGCGTCTTATGCGTGATCTGGCAAAAATAAATTCCAGTAATGCGGCACAAGCTGAATCAGATCACCTTTTACTCCATCACGTGGCGCTTTTCGCACACTCCAAAGGAACTCGAATTCTGATGATAGGTAGGCAACTACAAGGTGAAATTAGGGCAATGCAAGCAACATATAAATGCCTTTCTCCAGTGCATGGAGCTTCCGAAGCAGATTCTGGATTGTCTGCAATTGATCAATTAAACACGGAAGCAGTGCAGACCCAATTCTAGGTGAGCGACTCAAACGCAACCCTAACAAAACAGCAAAGAGCAGTTCAGAAAGCCCTATCGAAACTGTTCGATTCGCAACCTAGTGCAAATACTTCTGATATATATCAGCCCGAGTGGCGAGAGTGCATGGTATCGTGGCAGAAATTTACAGACGATACACCATGTTCTCCGACGTCGAACGCCACGTGGGTTCGGCCAATTATTATTTGTACTTAGGTAACTTTAGCAAGTTCTCTGTGGCACATCCTATCGTTTCGATATCTTTATGGAATCTATTTGAAGCTCCTTACGAAATTGATAGAGCCTTATGTGAGATTTCGGTGCGATCGCGGAATGGAGAGAGATGACTCCATTCGCATACTTGACCTCACCAAGAGAGAGTTGAGCAGAAGTGTTGAAACACTGTGTTTAAATTTACTTAAAACGCGAATTTGAGAGCAACGAGAGTCTTAATTGTCTTATCGAAATACGTTAATCCGTCGATAAAGTGGAAGAAGTGCTGACAGGATTAAAGAAAACTTTCTGGATAATCTCGAGAAGGAAGTTGGACCGTAAAGAAGTTAGAGGAAATTAAAAAGGCGGCTCTCCATCTTCCAAACACCCAGGTGCCCCATTCACCACAGTATATTCATAGTCTGCTTATCACAATTAGTGGAACCAGAGGCAGGGAAAATTTGTCTTGAATTCGAAGCCAACCCGTGAGAGGGATTACAAAAGGCTCCCGGATGTAGTCACCTCAAGTAACGTAGCCCAAGAGGAGGTCGTGAATGAGCCGGAGTATATCTTAATTGTTTTTTTTTCGCCCGAAGGCTGTTACCAATCGTGAAAGAGGCGAAAGGAAAAAGGAGTGAGGCGAGTTTTGTTGAGCGGAGACGAGATGTCTTGATATAGTGGTCAAAACATGGTTTCAATACGCCAGAGAGTCATTATCCAAGTATGGAACGACATACACGAGAGTAGGATGAATATGAACAAAGAAAACAATTTTGAGGGCGAACCTATTACCTGTCAGACAATATAAGGGCTTCATGAACTGCTGGACTCCAACCCCAAGACCTCATGTGCGAGTAATACGCTTGGCAGATGAGACTAACTCCCTGATTTCAATCATTTTTTAGAAATGGAAGAGAGAGATAGTTTCCAGTTTTCATGCTAAATTTAATGATTTATTGAGATCGCGATACTTACTTGTGATATCCCAAATAGATGCCTGAAAAAAAAAGATACAATTAACAAAGACCAACACCAATAGAAGTAAAACTCTGTGAACCCGCCCAAAAATACATAAAAACATCGAATGAGACCACAACTAATCCTATTTCAACTCTGACAGCTTTGAAAACATGGAGTGAAGAGGTGGCCATAGGTAGAAACACGCTGTAGGCTGCTCAACTATGTTTAGGTTGACCGAAGATAGGCCGGACTCACAAGATCTATTTCGAATCCCACTTTGGATGATGAAATTGGACAAAGTAATCGTGCAACACTTCTTTACAAACTGTTGCTGCAAAGCTAGATACGGTCGTTGACGCTCTGTGCTTCGGTGGTATACGCCTTGTACTACATCGAAGGCTTTCTCTTCCGTATGAGCATGTATAATGTAACATTTTGCTATAATTAGAACCCAAATACCTACTAGGTATATAATGTAAGAAGGGGAGTGTCCTCCATTTGTGCGTACCGATGCACAGTCATGCTTGAGGGTTACCAAGGTATCAGCCGCCCGAAGTATTGTGATTCCGAAACGAGTAATGATCAAATTCCAGACATGCAACAAGACAACAAAAAATACAGCCTCAACATCATTCATCAATCTCGCATACACTCGAATAGGAAATGATTGATTTTCAGAGACGCAACAAGATAACAATGTTACCTCGAATTTCGGGCCTAGACCTCCTCAGATTGGGAACACGGAAGGCCCGTGATCAAAATGGGTAATCTCCACAGCCGATCGATTTCAGAAGATCTGCAACAAACTTCACTCGCAGCCGAGCACAGGCGACCCGTCCCGAAAGCGGATTGAATAGAGAAGATCAAGCGATTAGACGTGCAACAAACTTCAAAGGGTGGAGGTTTAAGCAGCAATGATTTGATGGCTCTAAGCGAGCTGTGCAAAACAGGAAAAAAATGATTAGGTTGGACAGCCAAGGCGTATTTCATGTCAAGAATTTGACGGTTTCGTACTTGTGTAGGCGAGCTGTAGCAGAAAGAGAAAGTTTCCGGGAAAATCAAGCGATTAGATTTGCAACAAAGGAAAGAGTATACAAGCTGAGGTATGCAGTTTGTCTGAATTGGGCGACACGGAGACGATCATGATTTTTTAGATGTGCAACAAAGGACTCGTACTCAATATTCGGGAAATCTAGTATTGAAATCGTCGGAATCAAATCCTGGTTGGCTTTGACCAAAAAAAAGGTCGTAAGATTGCAACAAAAATATGCTTCCGTTCCAAACGATGAATCTCCGAGTGTATCTAGATTGGGAGATTGAAAAAGACGATCTTAAGATTTCAGATGTGCAACAAAAAGTTGTGTAGTATATTTCTGCTTCGGAGAAGATCTAAATGAGGAGAAGAATGAGGAATATCAAGCCATCAGGTTGGCAACAAAATGATGTGGTGTGGAAACTCATTTCGGACACTGACCAAATCCGGCCATGTTCGAAGGTGATCAAGATTTTTCAGACTTGCAACAAAAGTCTGGGAGAGATCTTCTTCATACTTCACAGTAGTGATTGGAAAAATTGTAGTGGCGATCAATGTAAGATGTGCAACAAACATTCCAACATTTTAATCTCGGAGTCGGCTGTCGCGAGATTGTAAGAATGTTCTCCTTAAAGGGGAATTCACGATAGACGATCGTATATTTCAGATGTGCAACAAAAGAGAACGTATCGCTCTAGATTACTAAAGACCCTTTATACCAAGAAGTAATATCAACCGGAAAGAGGAGTGAGTATCGTTGATCTTTCCGTAAGATGTGCAACAATCTCCAATTTGTGTCCCTTTCTTCTCTTTAGACCACAGTTTTTCCACTGCCGATCTCCATCCCAAGCCTATAGATATTGCACCCCAGAGTTTTCCAATCCAAATAGGAAATAAATGATAGCTGATCACTTCATAAGATATGCAACAATAGAATTTTCCTGCTCGCCTGGCTTGAAATTTGTCCAAAATGGGAGTTTTCAATTAAAGCGTGGTTCCAATGATCTGCCAATGTGGCCTGATTTCTTGGACGAATGGGGAATACGAATTTCATGATTTAGACGAGTCTAGACCTTTCGCTAGCTCTTGCTTATTTTGTACATGAGGCGTCTGATCCCTTCTTTCGGATTCGTTTAAAAGTGGCTTGGTGCTGCACGTTCCTTTACCGTCGGGTTAACACCAATCAAAAGCTGTCATTTTTGATAGAAAGCTGGTTTTCTAGTTCAAATAGCAATTCTTGTCGATATGCAACAAATGCCATGCCCACCACCAAGAATGTCAAAATTCCATGCTTTAGGTCATTTGGAAGCTTTGATTCTTCTACTGCACGTGGTCAGTTGTTTGTTTTAGGCGCCTTTAACGAATGTTCGGGATAGCCCGTGGCCCACGGGCTGTAGCTCGTTTGAAACTAATGTAGTCACATTCAAAATATTTGGAATTTGAAAGTATAAATCTAACTTCAATCAATTCGAAATTTCGAGTTGTTGATCACAACTTCCCTTTGTTTTCTCCCCTCCTTCATTGTGCGTTGCGTGTGTTGATCATTTGCCTCTTCACAACACCCGTGTTTGCCGAAGGATGTGCAGTTTTACAAAAAGAAAATTGATTGATCGGCGGAGACCCCGCCAAAGGATGGACAACTCTCGGATAATCGGATTTGAAGCATAACCCTTTGGACGAGTGTGGCCAATTTGTATAACAACCAATTAGAAAATATATATTAGAGATCAAACCCTTCAGCAAGGGTGATTTAGATGTAGTGTTTATTCAGCCAGTTAGAGTGGATTAGATGTCGAATTAGCATACAATCCTGTTTAGCTACAGTGTCGGAATAGGACAATTAAACGACTAACGATGGGATGAAATCATAATATCCTCGAAAGGTTTGACATTCGTAGAACGGATATTAAAATTTCATTTTCTAGTAATGATATACCTTTCTCAAGTATTTATCAATCTCTGAAGTTTGATGTGACACTTCAGATCAACTTCCTTCATCTTTCGGATAATATCATCGAAAGGTTTCCTTTCTAACCTCGTGAAATAAAGACGTGAAGTATTTGATATTCACGTCGTACCAGAATCATGGGTTCGTAGCCTACGATCAAAAGATGATCAACGAACATATGTATCCTGCTGTCGCGTCGAATGACTTTCATGTCGCATCGGCTAGAATTCTTTGTTGCGACCACAAAAAGGTAATGGAAGTGTGCAAATCCAACATGATCTCTCTTGCGATTCCGCGCGGACGTCCTTGAACCCCCAGTTCATGCCGATAATGATTACAAACCATCAATAGTCATGATCGTGAATAAGGTCAACTCATGACCTGATGTGAATTGTTAGAGATTAGCCTATCCACGATGTTCTTTACAAATCAGCATACCTATAACATGTAACTTCGTATATTCCAGAAATCGAATAAAAGTAACGACATTGCAGATGCATGTGTGTACTTTCAACGTGGCTTTGGTTTTCGAATTACAACCTTTGTCCCTTCTAATTGCCATCCCACGCTATACGTCTCAGTCAAAACGCTCCAACTAGAATCGGTGAGTTGCTCCAGGCAATCTAAATCGATACTGAGGTACGTTTTCCCAATCGACTTTAATGCATGCAGCTTCATCTCCTCCCCCGCGAATTCCATGATCTTTGCCTTATAACCATCAACCTCTCTCTTTACCTTCCAGAATAGAAAGTAATTATCGTGAGCAATCGCTTTCAAAACTTCGTCGACTTTAGGGTCTCGCAACCCGAGCGCAAGTCTGATAGAGTATGCCTTTGCTAGATCAGATTGCCTACAAGCCAAATCTAGCACTTGGTATGCTGCAAATTCCTGAAGTTCGGTGCTTGATAGTGGATGTTTTGGGTGCATTACTTGAAGTAGATGGCGCATTGCTGGATGATACGATTCCCAATGTTTCAGCAATATTGACAAGCGTATGCAAAATATATATGCTTGAATGGAGAAATCATCTATTCTTTTCGATGCCACGATTCCTTCTCGAAGTTTTCTCATTCCCATTGTTATAGCATCGAGTTCGTTTGTATCGGGTTTGCCATTGATAAGGTCTGCGGGGTTTGGCACTGTTTGTGTTGTTGGGGCAGCATCGTGATTCGCATTATCTTGTGCAATATTCAGACGTGCAAGCTTCCGGTTTAGTTCATCTCCTCTGCGAGCATCAGCTGCGAATATCAAGTATCGTTCGACTATCTTGTTGTAGAAACGTTCCTGGGTTTTATAGTCAAGGAGCCTGGCGGGGCAGTAAGTCAACAAAGGCGGAGGATAAGATTGGCTGCAAGGACGTACTGCTTATCTCCCTTGGATCTTAAGCCCATCTCCTCGAAAATATCCTGCTTGACGGGCTTTAGCCGACTCCATGATGAGTTACGTCCACCTTTGGTCGACATCGAGACAGAGAACAAGTATCGACAATGATGCTTGTTTGATGTGATGTCTCTATTTCATATGCATGAGTGAAGATGAACACTCTCGATCTTAGCTTCAATACCCCTCGTCATCAATTGCTGCTTTAAGAAGGAACTCCCAACATTATTTTTGATGAATCTGATAAGAATTTCAGTACCTGGATAATTATCATCCCAGCTCTATCCGTGAAAATGATGGATTTATTATATCAAATCGGTCGTTCACTCCTTCAGTTGTGATTTTACTTGTGGCGATTGACTTCATTTCATTTCAAGGTAATCAATCATAAGCACAAGCTCACTCACTGGCATTAAGATGTCGACCCGTCAACGAAGACCATCGACGACATCGAACACAGAACTTCTTTTCGAAACAGCAAAAAACATTGAAAGGAGGGTCGAAAATTCTCTTACAGTACTTTGGGATGATCTTCCCTCGTGGCAACAAGACAATCATTATATTAGATCTGGTTATCGACCTGCAACATCATCTTTCCAGAAGTCCTTTGCATCCCTGGGTTACATTCACAATGAATCAGTCAACATCTACTCGCACTTGATTGGAGCCGTAGTATTCACACTTTCGGGATTTCTCTTATATGCCATCATTAAGCCTAGATATGCCTCCGCTGAAATCGCTGATGTTCTAGCATTTAGTTGCTTTTTTGCAGGAGCTGCATTATGCCTTGGGATGTCGGGGACTTACCATACCATCTCTAATCATTCTCCCACTGTTGCTAAGTTTGGCAATAAGTTGGATTACCTGGGGATCGTTTCTCTCATCACTGGGAGTGTTATACCTGGGATCTATTATGGTTTGTATTGTCATCCACATCTATTCGAATTTTACTCCACAATTGTAAGTCGTTTCTACAAGATGCGTTCAATTTTCACTTGGCTCATGATACATTCAGACGGGTGTCCTTGGAGGTTTTTGTGCAGTTGTAGTCATGCTTGAACGGTTCAGAACCCCTGCTTGGAGACCTTATCGAGCAGGTATCTTTGTGGCTCTGGCGCTTTGCGGAGCTGTTATTCCAATACTGAATGGGATACAACTCTATGGATTCCATGCAATGCGTGAACGGGCGGGCTTGACATGGCTGCTACTCGAAGGATTTTTTTACATTCTTGGTGCTTCATTATACGCGGTAAGTATTCCAATGGTGTTTGAGGGAATGATTTTCTGATAGCAACTAGGCTCGATGGCCTGAACGGACCTCACCAGGTTCTTACGATATTTGGGGAAGCTCTCATCAAATATTTCATATGCTTGTCCTTGCGGCAGCTGCTTCACATTTGTACGGCTTGACCATAGGTTTCGATTATTATCACAACGGTCTTGGACTGAAATGCTGAATCTCGAAACGTTAGTTGCGAGATCTAACTGTCTGGATGTTTTGGAATATTTCGTCCGCCTGTCGATTGAGTCTTGATCTCCGAGTTGAATGCGTGGTAGGGATTTAGACGCGACAAAGGATGACATTAGGGGCTTCGGTATAGATAGAAGATGCTTTAGCGTGGCATTTTAGATGGTCAAGAAACTGGCCACATTGATAGACGTAAATACTTATGTAGAACCGGACTAGAGAATCATACAACGCAAGATATTATGCTCAAGTAATTGGAATTGAAGATGGGTATTTCGAACGGTTGTGAGGACAAAATAGCTCAACATCCAAAAATAGAAATTTACAGCAAGCCTCGGTCCGGCAATCAAAAATCCGGGGAAGCTGTCGTTCCCCGCCTTAATTCATACACTAGGAAACCTCACAAATACAGACAAATGCCACCGTTCTTTTACTACCTCTGACTCCAATTTTCTATTAACCAGAGAACTATACAATGGCGTCTCGTATTGCACAGATTGCTGGTCATCTCAATTATCCCAAGGGATTACTTGCTGGTCAAGTAGCTATAATTACCGGTTCTGGCCAAGGTATTGGTGCGGAAACCGCGAAACTTTTCGCGAATGAAGGAGCCAAAGTGATTATATCTGATATCGATGGCGGTTAGTACCTTTCAATTCGCTATTTATCTCAAAGCTACCAATATTAACCCAGTCTCCCTCTCAGCCAAAGCAAAATCCGTCGCCGACGAAATCAATTCCGCAGAAAGCGGCCGCGCAGTCGCAGTTCCAGGCGACATGCTTGATGCCGATTATCTCAAAGTACTTGTGAAGAAAGCTGCAGAATTTGGAAACGGAAAAATCCATATCATAGTAAATAATGCGGGATATACATGGGATGGCGTGATCCACAAAATGACCGACAAACAATGGGAAAACATCTTGGCTCTTCACAATACCGCCCCTTTTAAACTCATTCGCGAAGCAGCGCCCTATTTTCGCGTCACAGATGGTGAACCGCGATGTATAGTGAATATATCATCGACATCAGGTGTTCATGGCAATGCCGGACAGGCCAATTATGGAGTTGCAAAATCGGGAATTAATGGTCTTACGAAAGTGATTGCGAAGGAATGGGGTCCGAAGTTCGGAGTCAGATGTAATAGTATAGCGTTTGGACATATATTGACGAGATTGACGGCTGCGAAGGAAGAGGGGGCTTTTGTGACGACGCCGGATGGAGAGAAAATTGCACTGGGGATACCGAAGGGTCAGGGGAGTCAAGGGAAAGATGCGAATTTGGATATTCCGTTGAGGAGGGCGGGTACGGCGGGGGAAGCGGCGAGGAGTATTTTGGCGGTCGCGAGTCCGTTGTTTGGGTATGTGACGGGGCAGGTTATTATGGTCACAGGAGGGAGAAATATGTAGGTGTGTTTGTATAATGGAGATAATGGATTCTTTTGTTCTGGGGTATATTCGCTTTGCCCATGTTTGGGTGAATATACCTTTTGATCATCATTTTTTGAATGTTTCAAAGACCTTCCTACCAGCTCCTATGGTTTCCCGGTTCGATGTTTCCCTTGATAGGTATGTGAATTTCAAATGGAATCACGCACATCGGCACCAGCTCATAAATTAGCTTACGCATTTTTCCTTGTGATCAGCTACATAGTCTATGTGAGAGTTTAACTCAAAGCGGCCATAGAAACAAAACTTGCATCGGTACCTAAAATGTTTCTTTGCATATTTGACATGGTAAGATTCTGCTAAAAACACTGTATACAAATTACACAACAAAACTATTGATATCCTATCCAACGCTAAAGCACTATCACCAAATGATATTATTAATATTGCCTTATGACCTTAAGTCACAATTTCGCCAAATTTTCCAACTCTCGAACAGTCCAACATCGAATGCTTTTAAATAAACTGTGAAAATACCCTTGTCAATAGTAAAATATTTTCCTTGTCCTTCCATCCAGGTACTCATCTTTGGCTCTAGCGATTGAAGTCCTACTACCAACTGGTCCAGCAGTCGTTTTGGGCTATCGCAAACGGTTCTCTAATAAACTGTTTATGCATTAGCTAATCTGGTAGCCTTTGGATGAAAGCTTGACTAAAGTACTGTACCTCAGACTATTGAGTAGAATCCACCGTCGAGCCAGAATATAGGCGTACGAAATCATCTCCGAGGATGGAACAGAGAACGCCATTGTCGCCGAAAGTTACGGAAAAATCTCTCAGAGGGGGGCTCAAAGAAGAAATACCGTGTTCCATAATTCACACTCATCAACCACAATCCCTTCTCAAGGCACCAAAGTACAACAAAAGTTGGGAGAAAGCAAAGCGAAATGCAGAACTTAACCCTGATCGATTTGCGAATACCCATAGGAACGTAAGAAACCCCAAGCCACAAAGTGCTCCCGCAGCTATGAAGAATGCTTTCCATGATGCGCCACTTCCGATCAATTCGTTAATGTTCATACCGAAAAACGATGTAACCAAGGAGATGGGGAGGAAAATGAATGCTAGGATCGACAATTTTCCCAAAGTGTCGGATTGCTGGATCGATTTTCGCGATTCAATTAGCGAAAGTCTTCCAACATTCCACTGAAGTGTCTCTCGAACATATTGCTCAAGTTCGCGGGCTCTTTGTAGCTTCTTGCGATGACAATTAATCACATCTTGTATTTTGTTATTTTCACGAATGCCTGCAGTGCCTTCTTGATAGTCTTCAAGTTTCTGGGTGATCAGTTCAAAACTTTCAATCACGGCGCGAGACTTTATCCATGCTTTAGTAAGATATGAAAGCGTGAAACCTTCGCTTTCATCCTCTGAAGATAGAGGATCCCCAAGTTCCGAACCAATCCAGCATTGAAGTTTGAATTTCAATTTTCCAAGTCGAGCGAGAAAATACGCTTCCAGGCCATTGATTAGGGGAAGGAAACACTCGATTGGACTTGAGTTGATGAATTCAATGTCTGCGTCCGTGAAATTGTCCCAATTGTTGATGAGGGACTGTACAACAGTGTCTATACTCTGCCCACTCCATGTGCGATAAGATACGACCACTAAATATGTTAGAACCGTGAAGTAACGAGCTACAGACACACTGACTCGTTCTACAATTCTCACAATCATTCATTGTCCAGCGTAGTCGAGGTCTGGGGCGCCATGCCTTATCGCGACCGAAATCAAAACCAAGCTGTGAAGTCCCCGATGCCGGAGGGCTAAACTTCCAACCCCAGTCTGACCTGGTTTTCGCATTGTATTTAGCTTCTAGAATTTCGTATGTTGTGCTACAAGCTGAGAAGAGAGTTGGTTCCTCATCAGTGCAACTCTGTGTAAGAGGATATAAAAGAAAGACGACCCTAGTGCTAGTTTCGGATGGAATTATAGCTAGTTGTTCGTTGAACAAAGAGGGCGTTGAAACAAAGTTAATGGAATCGATGGAGTCAACACAGCTTGAGTTAGGGGTTTCAGTCTGCCAATTAAATTTTTGGTAAGAGATAGATTTGGCCTGCGATCCATGTAACAAACTTATATCGGTAATAAGAGTAACTAAGGGAATACTATATATCTTCACGGAAGACTCAGATTCGCTGAGACTTCCCATACTGATATAAATGAATGATTTTGAAGCAAACGGTTGTCCTGTTTCGACACGAGATAGTAACGAGGGGGCGATCTTTCAGTGTGAATTCTTGATGCAAGAGGTGACATATAATGATAAGTTTTCAACGAATATCTGTAGATATTTCAGTAGAGATATGGGATATTTTCGGCGCTTAATATGTATCATTGTTCCGCATAGAAACCCTACCTTGATCTAAATACATGGTCATTAATACGTTAGCTATGAAATAAT